TGATACAGACCCATTCCTATTCGAAATCCCAGCCTCATTCCGTATGTATCTTTGCATCTGTGCGGCTTTTTCGCTCCACTCGAGACTCCACTCCATATGACAGGCTATGACTGGGATTTGGATTTGGATTGGGATTGGAATTGGAATTGGAATTGGGTACTCCGTCTCCATAGCCACATCACCAACCACATCCACATCCACATCCACATCCAGCTGCCTGCTTATCGGTTCAAGCCATCAGTGCGACTCCATAAAACACTTAGTATACCTCGATTGGGGGCGTGGCTGGCAGGGGGCGGGGGGCGTCAAGTGGTCAATTAATAGCACACAAATATTGTGACAGCCGCGCTCGTCATAAAGCCAAGTTCCGCGAGGTCTCCCAAGTTCGAGGGAGGGGGGGTTGGTGGGTCTATATCCCAGGGCGGCGAAGATGGAGCGCTACCGATTAGAGACGCCGGCAATTTGCATTATGCAAATCAAATGCCAGCGGCAATTTGCCGCCGCAATTAGTCGCCTTGTCAGAGGATCGGCGACAAGGAGTCCGAGTTGGGTTTTTGAACTAAAGACTCTGAGTTGGGCCCTACACTCAGAAAAAAAACCTATATAGATAAAATTTTAAACAGGTTTTTTGGGAGTCATTTTCTGTATATAGAACTGATTATTGATTGGTAATATCAAGTTCAATATTAAAATTTAAATAGTTTTCGTTTAATATATGGTAGATTTTTAAAATAACAATATTTAAAATTTGTTTTAACTTTGGCATTTTGAAGTTTAGGTGCCAATATTTTAGACTTTAAGACAACTGTCGAATACTTTGAACTCTTTTGATTTACTATGCCTTTGGCTGATGTTTAACGAGGGAACACATAGGATATATATTTATAAAATATAATAAAATGTAAAATATAGTAAAAAAAATGTCTTTGTAGTCTACGATTTATTTTCATAAAGATATAGCGCTAGCCTTGCAATTAAAGCCTTTATTTTTAATCACTATTTGTTCGCAGTGTATGAAAGGAATTGGCACCGGGAGTCAGTGAAGGGTTTTCGGACCCTTGGGCCGCTTGACGTTTGTCGCTGGGGTTTTGCATGTTTCAATCAGCGTCATTATTCCATCATGTTGTCGCTGTGTCGCCGCCTGATTTATGTGGCGATTACGTCTGGGGATTTGGAGTGGCCAGGATTAAGGATAGTTCTCAATTGGGTTCGGTGCGGTTCGGTTCAGAGCGTTCAAAACGTTCCCCAAACCTTCACTATCAACCACTCCCCCCTCCCCCCGCTCCGCCTTTTTATACGATCGTTTCAACGCCGATCACTTCGGTTTTCAACTTCGTTTGCGGCAGCAATCGGTTGTTAGTTGGGGAGCTTTGCTTGTTGCCGCTGTAACGGCGATGCCTCAGTTGCCCGAGTGCCGTTCCAAAGTCAACAAGCGGCCGATCGCCGCTCCGATTCGTTCCGATACGCCACCATATGTACTCTCCATACCCAACGATCCCAGCGAAAATACAAATAAAAGGCATTAACCAAACCTCGTGAAAACAATTTCTGTTCGGTTTTTATTTATTTTGTGTTACTTAGTTTTGTTTTTTTTTTTATTTCCCCCCCCGCGGTGTTGAAGTCGAGGATTCCCAGCCGAGTGTGAGCAGTGAGTGGGTTTTTGAGTGTGCAGCAGGTTTATCCATCTGCCAGAAATACTACAGATATATATTTTATAAACTGACCCTAGGGGCCTGACATGCAACTACCATAAACAGCAGTTGCAGTTGCAGTTGCAGTGGCTTTTATGGTCGCTATACAGTGGCCACTGGACGGCGGACGTACAGTGGAGCCTGTGAGGCGCCGACAAAGGCATTAATCAGAAGTCGATAAACTTTGACATGCAAGCGGCAGCCAAATGAAGCGATCTTCATAAATCAAAGTGCTCCGAGGATGGAAAAAATATGTGTGTAGGAAAAACCAAGGAGGTGGAGTGGTGGAGGGGGTGAGGGGGGTCTACTAACTGGGCACTCATTTGATTTATGGCCACTGCGGCGGACCGCCAACAAGTTAATTGAAAACGAGGCGTGACAGTGAAATTTGCCACCGCACGCCAACGGCGGAATATAAATATATATGTATATATATAACTATATATGTATATATATATAGTGGCCAAAGATGTCCCGCCGATCTCAACTGGATCAGCCAGTAAATCGGTGGAGAGGAGCCCGCAGCCTGAGGCACTTTTCCAAATGTGCCACTAAACTGACAGATTTGGCCATAATAAAAAATTTAAAAGCCAAATACAAACCGAGTGTGTGGCTTGTGGTTTGTGGTGTGTGGTGTGTGGAGTGTGGAGTCTGGAAAATAAGTTGCCAACTTTAATTTATTGTGACATAACGGTATAATCTGACATAAATTATTGATAAGACGAGCGCCCATAAAAGTACAAGACAGTTGGCTTAAGCAATACAACACAAACATGGTGGGGGAAAACTGACGGAGGGGGGAAAGAGGGGGTGTTGGCTTTTGGCTGGAAAAGCTGGAAAAACTAAAGCGAAGCCAACGCGATTGGGTGGCGGGAAAATGGCGAGGAAATGGCGAAGGGGGCCCACAAACAAACAAGACGAACTGGGTTTGCTCTACTGCACTCGGTTTCGGTATCGGTATCGTTAGATATCTGAACCGATTGCTGTTATTAATCTAATCATTGCCATTCCATTTTATTATTGTTACATTTATTTATTTAACAATCTTTTTATCTGTTGTTTAATTAAAAAGTGAATTGTAACTCACTGCCCACAAGCAAAATTGAAAAAAGTTAAGGCCGTTTGATTTGATATTATTCATATTGTTTTATCCTCCTGATCTTGTCTCATCTCATTCTTACATTAAAAATATTTAATTCGTTGCTACAAAATTTAATTTTGATTAAACAAAAATTTCCATATTAATATTTTATTTATGTATATACAGGGTTATGTTGGTTGAAACAAAGATTAACAATTCTTTAGTTTGAAAATTGATTACCGATGATTTAAAAATAGAGAGAAAGTAGTTAATGAATTTTTTACTCCGATACTATCATTTTTTTGACTGGTTGTTCTTTATTTATCATTATTATCTAAGAGAAATGCTCGTGAATTAAGTATGGGTAAAATTAAAGTCAGTGAATAACACATCTTCCCTAGAACTCGAACTTTTAAAGTGTGTTTGTATAATTATACTTAGTCATGACAATATATATTTTAATAATAACTTATTTATTCATAAATTCATTCAAAGATGAGTGGATAGAAAATATGAGACATGCTCCCGAATAAATCAAGTTCAAGTTGATAAACACTAAACACATTAATGACCTATTTTTAATTTGGAAAAGGCACGTTTTTAAAGGATAGAAACTTAGGTAAAGTTGGCAAGGCTAAAACTAAATCAGAGAATGTTTCTTTTCGCCTGCTAAGTTTATTTATTAGATGGGTAGATGATCCCCCTGCCTGGCTATTAAATTGTAGTACCCCTTTCGGATTTATGGTCAGGGTATAACAACGGCCAAAGCGAGCCTACAACAAATACCAGAGCCGCTTATAAATCATTTGGCTAACAACAACTGGTCGGAACTGCAATTGGAGTTGCTGCAGTTGGATCTGGAGTCGGAGTTGCTCGGTTCGCTGCAAAAGTATCTTTTGGATCTATTATTTAACTTTTATGTGCGCATAAATGCGGCGATATGATGCCGATGACGACTGGAAAACTGGCTAAGGAGTCCGAGCCAGTTTTTCCCCCAACGGCAGGTTTCAATTTTCCGTTTTTAAAGGAAAAATACAAATCTCGACCGTGTCTGCTGCACTTTCATGTTAATTAACAAGAAACTTTTATCAGCTCTGCGATTAAGCGAATGCCACTTCTAACGCCCCAACCCCAGATCTCTTTTCCTTTTGCGACTCTTTATCCATTTTGGATATGGATATGGCATATGGACCCCCTCCTCCCATCCCCCCCTCCCCACTTTATCCATTGATCCATTCAGATAAGCGCCGACACACAACAAATTGTGGTCCATAAATTTTTAAATTGCGAATGTCCAAAGAAGCCACGCCGCGATAAGATTGTCTGGGGTGTGGAGATCAATATTCCATATTGATACTGGTCATGTCAGTCGAAAAAGATTTCGTTGATTAAGCTAATTTGCCGAATTTATAAGATATCTTATGCAAATATTGATACTGGGCATGTCAGTTGAAATAGATTGGAGTGATTAATTTAAACTGGGAAAAACAAACTAGAGCGAATAATTTAATTGAACGATTCTTCGGGCAATATTCATCTAATAAATTATAATTATGATTAAAAATTCTCTGCAAAAGTATAAAAATGGTTAAACAAAAACTAGCAGGGGATTTCCCCTTCCTCGAAAATTAATAGATTTAAATGATTAATTCAATTAGCTCTCTCAACCTTAATGCCATTCAATATTGATACAAGTCTACTCAACTTAAATAGATGAGAGTCATTAATTTAAATTGTGAAAACTATAGGAGGTTGTAAATATGAATGTATGGGCGTCTATGGATTATTTTTAATGGTTCAATCAATTAAACTAATCTCATGCGGTCCATAAATTATAGCTTGTCCAAAGAAGTCATGAAGAGATAAGATTGTGTTGAGGACTTTGGCTGGCGGAGTTTAATATATTCAATATTGATATGGAACATGTCAACCAAAAAAATTCCAATTGATTTATACTTTTGCGCTTCAACATAAATGGAGTGGATTTTTAGTTATAAATTATGAATGGAAATAAATCATTCACATATTGCTCGCTTAATCTGATGAACTTCAATCAATGAATGTCAAAGTTGGCCTTTAATTTAAAAATAAAATTATCTTAATATATAATAATAACTACTTTTTCTCTTTATTTTTTACAGGTATGTTTCAACTCTCGCTTAGCTAAGATACATTGTCGGCATCTCGATCGGAAATCGTAACGTGTTGCACGAGGGCAAACGAAAGACTTAGGCAAGGAACTTGTCGCCAGCGGAGGTGGACGGAGGACCAGGAGGAGCGGCAGAGGGAGCGGGGGGAGGCGCGGGAGCTGGAGCAGGAGCAGCAGCAGCAGCAGGGGCCGGAGTGGGTGGCAATCGCCTGGCGGACATGGCCCTCTTCCCCTCCTCTTCGCGGCCGCGGACGCTCATGGAGCAGCTGCTGGCCCGCAAGATCGAGGCGGCCGCCGCTGCTGGCGGTGCTCCCTCCGCTGCCGCCGCTACTGCCACCGCCACCGCCCCCGCATCTCCGCCCGCTTCCACCGGCTCGGCCACGCCCTCGCCCACGTCCCCCAACCCGCCCACGGTCGTGGGGGAGTTGGCGTTGGCCTGCCCCTCCCCCTGGCCTTGGGATTGGGACTGGGCCTGGGTATGGGCGTGGTCAGCCGCCTGCGACGCACTGACTCCCTGGACTCCACCAGCAGCCTGGGCTCGCTGGCCTTCGGCGAGGATGTCTGCCGCTGCGACGACTGCCTCCTGGGCATCGTCGATCTCTACGTGATCAGTGCCGCCGAAGCGGCCAAGAAGAAGGTAAGCCATGTAAGGATCACCATTGGGGTGGAATGATATTTCACAGGGATGATTAAGACCCGCCCTAATAAAAAATTAAGAAGTAAGAAGAGAATATTTTACAAAAAAAATACATTTATTAGGCTTTCAACAGAAATAGAGATATTCCTTGTATTGTCACAGGAATATGAAATATAAAATATATAAAATAATAAATAATAGTTAAAATCTAGTTAGTTAACTTAAGTAAGTTAAGTATAAAATAAAAAATAAAATATTTTTAATTATAGAAAACCTTAAGTGTACCATTAATATTAAGTAGAACAAAAGCAACTAAATCTTTTACTTTGTAATTAAGGCAAGTCTCTGATTTTTTGAAATGTCATTTTGGAAAAAACACCACCTCATTAATCATCGTTATTATTGCTCCAAAAGTCGGAACTAAAAGGTAATCTTAATGATTTCGAGAAAATTAGCAAGTCACTAGCTTGAATAATTAGATAGTTCGCAAGTGGGTAAACGAATTAAGGGAGTGCAGTTTCCAAAAAGTAAGGAGTATACAAATAAATTTAAAGTAAATTAAAACCTAATGATCCCTCGATCGTTTTTAAGCTTTTGATCTACCTTACTGAAAAGCTTCACCTGTGGAGGTTGTCTCCGCTATAACGAAGCTATTTGCTGGGCACTGGGATTCAATTAGTGGTGGTGGAATTAACTGGAAAAAAAGCTATTAAAACCTGTTAGTAATAGTCGATTTTTAAATTATTATCAGTATCAGTATCCTGACGAAGCCAGGCAGCAAAGCCTCGTCCTTAAAAATAAATATGCAGATAAGTTACTTAAAGAATACTGTTTTTTAAAAAAGCTTAGGCATATTGGAAGTAAATTAATTAATTGTTGATCTATTAAAATAATAAACAAAATGAGGAAACTAAAGTTGAACTTCGCCTTGCTTATGTAAAAAGTAAATTGATTTATGAAAGTTAATATTTCGTGTTATATATATTTATAATAAAAATTTAGAAAATTTTTTTTTTTAATTTATTTGTCTGGTATATAGCCATAAATTGGCTGGAACACCAGCACTAACTTGGACTTGTGGACCGGTCCCATTGACGTCACTAGCATCAGTGATAGCGAATGAGAGCGAGGGAGACAAAGAGAAACCGCTCATGCGTAAAGCGTGGATCGTGTGAAAATGAGATCGTTCAACTGATAAGGGAAATCAGAGAGGAGGCGGGGGAAGTGGGCGGAGTGGGCGGAGGCCTTGAGATTTCGGAAGAGAGCGATCTCACCAAAGATCTTCCTCCCAGGAAGCTTTGCAAAAAAAAAATGATTACTCCCAAGAAGATCGCATCCCTACAGGTTATGCAATTTGATAAATAATTGTTAATGGCCTTAACTTTCTCCTGGAGAAAGTGATTTGTGACTCATATTTAATAAGGATCTTGTTGGCGATCTTAAGAAAGTCTTTTTCTCCTTTTTTTTGTGGATTTCTCTTAGTGACTCTTCATTTGTGTAAATATCTCTTTCTCTCTTGTGAATTTTGTTTATTTACATTAAAGCCCATGTTCGCTGATTTACAAAGCCAGCTTCCCATGTTCCCATAAACAAACAATGATATGCACTTATTTGTATAACAATGCCCAGACATTATAGGGTAAACACAATATTAGGCTGTGTTTATATTTTTTGTAAGAAAAATAACACACAAATTGTACGAGCTAAATAAATTTCACTGCAATTTCAGATTATTCCCTGAATTTAAAAACCTGGCCACGAACTGCTGGGAATATTTTTGCCAATAACACCTAGCATTTTCCAAATTAAAGATGACCACATAATACTGTTTCTCTAGGTGGCTATCTTTTAACATTTGTATAATGTTTATTACTCGTATTCAAATTTGGTATAATATACTTCTTATACCAAATTTGAATTTGTTTTCCTGTGTGAATCTGTGAAATTATCCACTGATATAGTTTCAATAACAAAATATGACACCATTGAACACATAAGGTCTTAAAGTTTCTCTGTGTGTAGTGATCCCTAAGATCTTAATCATACAGAACTGATAGAATGGGTTTATTTTTCTGTGTAACATTAAGGAGATTTAACCATATCGTAACGGCATTTTCCGCTGTTGCATAGGATCTCACTATCATTGACGTCACGATTTCGATCATTTAACTACGTCATCGCGGGTGAGTCTGGGCCAACTAATGAGCTTTGTTCCCCGGGTTGGGACCCTCTCTCATCCAGGTGATAATTCTGTGTCTGGATGCACCCAGGAAAATTCCCACCCACTTGTATTTCTTTTTCATACCGTTTTAAAATTCAAAAAAATATGAATATACCATACAATTTCAAGAAGTTTTAGCTATAGAACGTCTAACACTTGACCATGTCTTAAGTAGTTTTTTTTGTAAACAGAAAGAGATTAGTTTTTGTATTGCAGTATTTAAAAGTGTTATGTACCTTAAAAATGTCAATATTTCAGAGCACATTTTTCTATTTAAACATCACAATTCTAATTATAAAAGTAATAATATACTAAAAAGTTAATTGGTCACGGATGGGATGCGAACTCGGTCTTTTGTTACCAAAAGCTTTTAAGTCAACTCTATTATTTATCCATCAAAATTATATGGAGTATGCAGTTAATTTTTTTTTATGAGTGTACCACCCCCAAATCCGCCCACTCGGCGTTATCAATTTGAGCTCTCTGATTTTTATTGGATTTCGATGGAATTTGGGTAGGACTCCTGTGTTGCTGGTGTGTTGTTGCTGTTGCTGCTGTGTTGTTGTTGCTGTGTTGTTGCTGGTGTGTTGTTGCTGGTGTGTTGTTGCATGTGTGTTGTTGCTGCTGTGTTGTTGCTGGTGTGTTGTTGCTGGTGTGTTGTTGCTGGTGTGTTGTTGCTGGTGTGTTGTTGCTGGTGTGTTGTTGCTGGTGTGTTGTTGCTGGTGTATTGCTGATGTGCTACTGCTGTATTGTTGCTGTTGCTGCTGCTGTATTGTTGCTGTTGCTGCTGTGCTGCTGCTGCTGCTGCTGCTGCTGTGTTGTTGCTGCTGCTCATCGCCGGCGGAGCTCTCAGCGAGTTCGGTTCGGTTTGGCTCGTTTGGGTTCCGCTTTCCAGAGCAGAGTCGACCAGTTGAGCTTTTGCTGCGATCGCGTGCGGCTGGCTCGGGGTCTCGTCTCTGGGTTTTGTCATTGCTATTGCCTTTGGTAGAGTACTGTTGCGCTGCCCGTAGCGCCGACTTTCCGCGTGTGCTTCCACATATCTCTCGCCGCGTCCATATGTATTTGAATATCTCTATAAATGTCTGTGTGTTGTTCACCGCGGCTCTGAACGCCCCTCTCTCTCTTTCTGTGTGTGCCAAGCCAATGCCAGAGACCGCGTCAAACGGCCCACCGAAAAACGAAAAAAAAAAAAAATAATAATAATAATAACAAACAGCAACAACCCAGCAGCAATATTATTCCGAAAATATTATAATTTTTGGCCAGTTTTTTGATACGTTCATTTTGATTGGTTTTTGTGATATTTAAATTTTATATTCCAAAAAAGAAGAAAGCTGTAAAAATTCCACTAAAATTATAATTGTTCTTAATTAACAGTTAATTACTAAAGAGTGTGTATGTAACCAATTTTTTTGTATAGAAAAAAAACCTATAGAAACAATTGTTTTAAATAAAATGTATTTTGCTATAGAAAATGTGTCTATATATTACATATCATAGTATACAAAATCTAAAGGAAGATAACACAAACGATTGCACAAAATATTAATCATTTTTAATTGAATGTTAACTGCTATATTGCGTGTGTATTTTTGTTAAAATATATAATATAAACAAGCTTAATTAGTTCGATTTTTTTTTAAATGTTATAGATCTGATAAATTTACAATTAAAAGTTAACTGCTACAAGTATTATTTTCAAACTTAAAATTCTTATCAAAAATCTAAAAAATGGTTAACTAAAGTGGTTTATTTCTGTATAAAAAAATATAAAATAAATACTAAAACAAGTTTCACATCAATTTGAATACAAAATGAAATTAAACTAGTAGATGTTGCAGACTAAGAAGTTAAAAAACAAAATAACATTGATGTTATCTAAAGAGCAATTTCTAGCCCTAACATTTTTAATCAAAATCAATTATTTGCATCAGATTTTTTTTTACTGTGTGTTTTTTTTGTAAGTTAAATACAAATTTCGAAAGAATCAAGTGGCATGTTGGGGAATCTGCAATATGTTGCTGCTGTTGATGTTGCTGCTGTTTCGTGTTGCTGCTGTCATTGTAAAGTGTGTTAATTGAAGCACGCGCCAAAGCCCCCAAGAGAGAGAGAGACGGCAAGAGTCGGAGAGAAAGAGAGGGGAGAGAGAGTGAGGGGGAGAGAGGACATGAGACAGCAGACAGAACTCTTATACTAAATGACTGAAATAGCGAACTGACTTTTGCACCGAAAATCCGAGTATTTATGTAAACATTTACACACTACATATAAAAGCGACGACGTCAATGAGAACGCCCAACCACCAGCCCCCCGCCCAAATAAACCCCATCCAAATTGAGTGCTACGCAATTTGGGAGCAACACCCACACCCACACCCACCTCCACACCCACCCAACACCCCAATCGCCCACCCCCCGTCCACAAAATTGAATGTGAATTATATAATTGAAGAGCAGCACCTTCAGAAATCGTGTTCACTTGCGTACGACCAGCGAATTCGGCAATTGAAGCTCATTAAGTAGCCAAAAATGGAACTAAATCACCACTCCACCCTCCCCCTCCCCTCCCCCCACCCCGCTTTAATTGGCGCTTGATCGTTTCAATAACATCCGCCCAACCACCCACATCTCGAGGCCCAAAACCGTATCCGAATCCAAAACCGAATCCCAAAGCCAAAATCCATTCTGTGCGTCAATGGCACACAGCAAAAAAAAAAAAAACAGAGGATAAATTTGGGTGGCATTACTAGAACCATATTTATCCAGCACACAAAAACCAAGTGATAAATTCAATTGGGAATAATCAATTATTGGGGTAGCAGCTTTGCATTGTAGTTTTTTATATAAAATGTATGCATAGCTTCCAAAAACTTAACCATTTATGTTACTTAAATCCTTCAGTATTGCCTATTATTCTCTAAAATAATCTTTGGAATAGATGTTTTGAAATTTGTTGTTTTAGTGAAACAAAATTACATTTTGGACTTGAGATTAATACATGTTTATATTCTTAATTTTAATATTAAAATAATATTTTACTTCTTGACATGGAATATATACAGATATGTAAGCTAATAATTGTTTATTAATGCTAATTAATTAATTTATTAATTTAATGAATTGTTCAATTCTTTTGACTGATAAGAGATCAAATCTATTGCTAATTGTAGTTCTTTGTAGATTTTTGTTTTTCAAAATACCAGTTTCATTTTTTTGAATCAACTGTAGAATTTTCTATTCCAGATAAATCTATAATTATAATTTTTCAATACCAGTTCCAAATCGATTTAAAAAGCCATCAAAACATTTTCCAGTGGTCGAATAGAAGAAGAGAAACAGAGACTCACACTCAGAGAAACGGAAAGAGTGAAGGTGATAAAGAGCGGAGAGGGAGGTTGACAGCAAATTGTTTACTTTATTAATTTTAAGCTTTTGGTAGTTAAAAAAAAAAAAAAAAGAAAGGCTGAGAGAAATTGTTATGCGAATGTGAATGGCGTGCATTAAGCGTGTAGTGCCCATTTTTGAGAGTGGGTGGTGCTGTTAATTTAAAGGAGGGAGGGCGTCTTTAGGGGGGTGGTATCCAAGTGGGGGTGGCATTACGTACCCCCCCCCACCCCCCACATACTCACATACCAAGCACACGATCTAATGTATCTATATGCATAGTACATAGCGCGATATATCGAGTCGTTATCGTCGACGTCGGTTTTATATGTTTTTGTTGCTTTTGCCATTACCATAGCCATACATTGTTGTTGTTGTTGTTGTTGCTGGTGTTGACGGCATCGAAGATTGTACAATTGTTTTTATTAGATAACGAGCAAATTGGTATTTAAGAACGGATCGCAATTCGAAACCAAGCCCATTTAGATATATAAATTTATGCAAAGATAATAGTAAGAATATATCCTCACAGGTGAATAAAACAGGAATAGAAAACTAATATGCAATTATACAAATTGAAAGAATCTTGAATATATATGCACATTGGTTTCAATCTTTAATTGCGTATTGCTTCTTGGAAATTACTGTTAATATATTCAAGTAGCAAGTAGCATTAAATAACGAAATATCACACATACGTCATGTATGGCGGATCTATTAATAACATGAAAGAAGCAAGTAAACAAGGGGTAAAACCAAATTAGATAAAGGGAGTAAGAAAAGTTTCACCTAACATTAGTATATCAGATAATACTTTATATTTATTCACTGAAATCTTGTATGTACATTGCATTGGGAACTTTAGTGTAAAGATACAAAAAAATCGCTTAATTTCAGTTGAACTTGGATCACCCAAGTATATAGTCAAACATTATAAAATAGAGCCCTTAGTACTTAAATACTTTGAGCCCTTGTTAGACAAATATACACTTAACTACGATCTCTAAAAGATCTTGAAGTACTAGACGAATTGGAACTCTTAATGTTATGTAAATGAATATAACTCATAACTAGAGCTTTTCCTTTTTAACTTTGTGATCTTTGGATTATAAGTTAATAACAATTTTTCCGATAAAATATATTACATTTTTGACTGATTTGCTAAATCGGAAACACCTGAAACTTAGTCACTTTGATGAACCTTAAATTTAGAAAGCAATCTTGAATTAATAGCCAAAGGTTGACAAACCAGTGAATGTTCTGGAAGAGCTGATACACTGGAAACCCTTGTCCCACTTACATACACTTAGTATTCAAGCCCTTGCAATGGCAACCCTTGACTTGGGTTGGAATTAGATAAGCCAAATATATAGTAGGCGATCGCTAAGTAGTACCCTAGGCGCTAAGATCTATTGTTGATATGGGGAGTACCAAAGTTCTCCAGAGAGCAGAGCCAAGGTTTCCAAGCCTTGTTGCAGTTGCTGATGTTGCTGGCGTTGCTCGTGTTGCTGTTGCTGGTGTTGCTGTTGCTGGTGTTGCTGTTGCTCGTGTTGCTGTTGTTGCTGTTGCTATTGTTTCTGGTGATATTGCTGTTGTTGCTTCGTTATCGCCTCGCGACGACGGCGTCAACATTTGCAAATGACGTCAAATGTTATAAAGAAATTTCAGTTCGTATATGTTTGTATATATGGCCAGAGAGATATATACCTAAATGTGTTGTATGTACATACATATGTATATATATTCGGATTCGGTATTGTTGCTGTTGTGCACTGGCGTAACTGGATAGCCGCGTCGCTGGCATTTCCATTATTATCATAATGTGCTGTTCGATTTGGGTTTCGGATTGGATTGGATTGCCTTGCCCGACTCTGGGCGGTTTCGCTTGTGGTTGCTGGTTGGTGGTTGCTAGTTGCTGGTTGCTAGTTGCTGGTTGCTGGTTGCTGCTAGGTGTTGCTACTTGCTACTTGTTGGCTGGTGTTGCCAGTTGCCAGTTTCCCCGTTTTGCCAGCTTCTAGCTTTTGGATGCCGCAGATGGAGCTGCCAAGATGCCAACACGCTCCAACAATGCCTACTTAGTTTCTATAGTCTGTCTTTCCTTTTTTTTTCACTTTTGCGGACTGTGTTACATGGCACATACATATGTATGTATTAAATTTAATCAATTTTGATTGATGTGTGCGCATTACAGCCGCAGTAACAGCAACAACAACATCAGCCACATATATAAACCCAAAAGCAGTCAAAGGCCAAAAACCCAGCTGCAACGAAGCGATAATACCCTGATCGGAAAAAGGGATTCTTATTGCACTTCTGCATTCTGAAGGTATTTGCCTTGAAACTCTCTTAATAAAGAAGAAATACCAATGGGGAAGTTCGCATTATAAGCCCCTCAAAAAGTCCCTTCCGATGAGACATTCTTTAACAAGAACAATGAGTAATCATGGGTGGGCAGCATCATTCAACAGTGAGAAAAAAACTTTTTTGTATACCTAAAATCCCGTAAAGTCTTTTTCAAATTCATTTGTCTTTTATGAACATTAAATTCATACATCTTTTTAATGATGTGTACTTGATTGATTTATCTCTAGAAATTGTTAAAACTTGATAAAGATCTGTTTTAGAACTAGCTTTTTTGTGTCACAAAACCCATCTCTTTTTTTAAATAAATCATTATTGTGCTCATCTAGTTTTAAAGACATCAAAAAGCTAGCGGATTGTTAGAACTTTTGGGGACTAAAACTGATTTGTGTAAGGGTTTCAGAAGTATCACTCTTTGATTGAAGGGTATTTGAATGGCAGAAAGGCCTACTGAAATTACTGATGCGGTTTTTAGGCGCGAACGGGTTCGCAAATGCGCAGAAATCAAAATGCAGCCCCAGCTCTCCAGCTCTCCAACTCTCTGACTTCGGCAGCGGCTTCTCAATCTCAATCTCGATCTCTATCACAATCTCAATCTCCGATTTTCGATACCCAATTGCAGACGTAGTTAGACACTCGCCATAAAGTACCACTGATGCACTTAAGCGAGTGCCGTGGGCCAGATTCCATGTAAGATGTCCGTGTGCGCCCTCAGCCAGCCACAGTCGCAGTCGCAACCGCCGAATCCCAATCCAAAACCGAATCCCAATCCCAATCAAAATCAGAAGCAGAAGCAAAAGAGCCAGATACCGAGATTGCCGGCCTTGGCAACCGGAAACGGAAACGGAATTGGCAAGCTAAAGGGTTCCATAACGCCACCCACTCAGCCACCCTCGCCGCAGGTGAGGATCTACGAGGACTTCGACAGGATGAGCGCCAAGGAGGTGTACTACAATGAGGCAGGCAAGAAGGTCACCGTGAAACTGCTCCACTTTCCCGACGTTCCGCCCGAGGAGATATCCAAGCTGAAGTTCGAGGATGACGACGATGACGATGAGGAGGAGGATGGGAATGGGGATCTCGATCCCGATGGCAAGGGTGATGGCGATGAGGCCGATGAGGATAGCGATACCGGGCGGAAACCCAATTCGGGGGGCAGTGAAACGGAGACGCAGAAGGGTCAGCCAGAGGCAGGTGCCACGCCCAGCTCCTCGAAGAAGATCTTCCGCCGGAAACTCTCGGGAAACAATATGCAGCCCCGGAAATGCAGCCTCGCCTTTGCCCAGGCCCACGGAATCCGTCAGCGGGCGGAGAAGAAGCTATCGATGCCCACCATCAGCATCACGGCCAATTCGGGTGACCATGTGGCCCACAACTGTGGCCTGGGACGCCTTGGCCTGGGCCGGAAGCTATCGCAGCAGCACTCGCTGCCAATGGGGTCACCCACCTCGCCCATTGCGACGCACATGGGTCCCAGGCGATCCCATTCGCCACTGGGCCAGAGCCTCTGCCCCGGCTACATCCAGTACTCCAAGTCGCTGCTGGAGGTGCCCATGCCGCGGGACTACGGCTACGCCAGCAGCGACGATCTCAGCTCCGAGTGGGACTCCGACGTGTCCACCTCGGCGGCCGGCTCGGCCACAGGATCCGGCTCCTCATCTCAGGGAACCGCAGCCAAGAAGGTTTGTCCCTCCCAAAGATCATAGCAATATAGCTTTCAAAATGGTTCGTATCAGAGCTCCTAATGAGCATTACCTTTAAGGGAATGAGAATGTTACTTTCAAATTAATTTATTTTATATACACAAAAACATGAAACAATTTTTAGTAGCGATTTATATTTAAAGGTCAAATTAAACTACGAAAAAAAACACACTTTTTTATTATTATTTATTATTATTAATTTTATTGTACCCAATTTTAAATATATTGACTATATCTAACTTAACTTATATTTAATAAAACGAAGGAAATTAAAGATATTTCATCGTAACATATTTTAGTTTTAGGTATATAAATTGATTTGCCTTTATTATATTTAAACTATATATTAATATAGAACTAACTCTATAATATTTCATATTGTGATCAACTTAAAAGTGTTTACAAAAGCTTAAATAATGAGAAATCAGCTGAAAAATCAGGGCATATAAATGGGTCATTTGTCAGCTGTCAGCTGTCTCTTGTAATTTGTTTCATTGTTTTATTTCCAATACACAAATAATTTTAATTAGTGAAAAGCCTTTTTAGTTACCTCAATAAAAACATATGTTTTTTTCAATAACAACTAAATAAACTTGGAATGGTTTATACCTTGTTATATGAAAGGAAATGTGTTTTGTATCTTTAAATGTTAAATTAAAGTATATTTAGGAACATTATTATAAGTATGAAATGTTGAAGTATTTATAAAGTAAACTTTATTGGTTTTAAGGAACCTGCGATGTATTTTTAAATAATGAATTATAATACTTAATGGAATTAATCCCATTAAAATCCCGTGATTAATTGATTTACCCCCTGATCTTTGCAGAGCTCCGGCTGGCGGAAGATCCGCAACATCGTCCAGTGGACACCCTTCTTCCAGACGTACAAGAAGCAGCGCTATCCATGGGTCCAGCTGGCCGGACACCAGGGCAACTTCAAGGCGGGTCCCGAGCCGGGCACCGTGCTCAAGAAGTTGTGTCCCAAGGAGGAGGAGTGCTTCCAGATCCTCATGCAGGATCTGCTGAGGCCCTACGTCCCCGTTTACAAGGGCCAGGTGACCAGCGAGGATGGCGAACGTAAGTTGTCCCTAAGTTTTTGGTTGTTCATAATAGCAGGAGAAGATATTTACGATAGAAGATTATGTAAAATCGGGTATTACTAGTTTATATGATCTCTATGACTCTTAAAGTTCGAATTTTCGAAGAAATACAATTAGGCTCATTATAATTTCCATTTAATTTCCAAATCAACGCGTTTTTATAATCAAAAATACATATTAGTGGTATTATTATAATTCCAAATATTTTAAAGACATATGTTCAAAGAAATAAAATTTAAATTATTCCTTTATTTTTAAAGTTAATAATATATATGCCAAAAAATGCAATCAAGTATGATAAAATCAAAATTAAATAGGCTTAAAGTTACAATAGGCTTGCAATCGAAATAATTCCCTTTATAGCACGTAATAACTCTATAAATAGCTTTAGTTTCTAATCTTATCCAATCCTTGGACTCCTCCAGTCTACCTGCAGCTCCAGGATCTGCTGAGTGACTATGTGCAGCCGTGCGTGATGGACTGCAAGGTGGGTGTGCGCACCTATCTGGAGGAGGAGCTGTCCAAGGCCAAGGAGAAGCCCAAGCTGCGCAAGGACATGTACGACAAGATGATCCAGATCGACGGCCACGCCCCCACCGCCGAGGAGCACGCGGCGAAGGCGGTGACCAAGCCGCGCTACATGGTCTGGCGGGAGACCATCTCCAGCACGGCCACGCTGGGATTCCGCATCGAGGTGGGTTTTGGTTTCCAATTTCGAATGTATTTCTCTGACTCTGGTACTAATACTTGGAGGTTATGCCATGCTAGTCCGTTTAACCCCTTTAAATATCGCTTTCAAGGTCTTGGTTTTGTATCTAATCCATCTTAATTATAAATTCCTTTGTCATCAAGAATCAGTTTTTGCCCTTAATGTGAACGGCATTTTCAAGCATGTCATTTGGATAAAGAAATCCCCTGGCTAAACATCAATTTGCTTGATGACTACTCTAATAAATAATTCATTTTGCAGGGCATCAAGAAGAGCGATGGCACCAGTTCCAAAGATTTCAAAACGACGAAGTCACGCGAACAAATCAAGTTGGCCTTTGTCGAGTTCCTCAGCGGTCATCCCCACATTCTGGTGGGTATTTGATTGAACATCTACTATTGAATGATATTAAACCGGGGGATTCCCCTGCCCTTCCAAACAGCCCCGCTATATCCAACGTCTGCGCGCAATACGCGCCACCTTGGCCGTTTCGGAGTTCTTCCAGACCCACGAGGTCATCGGCAGTTCCCTGCTCTTCGTCCACGACCAGACCCACGCCAGCATCTGGCTGATCGACTTCGCCAAAACGGTGGAGCTGCCGCCCCAGCTGCGGATCGATCACTACTCCGCCTGGAAGGTGGGCAACCACGAGGATGGCTATCTCATCGGGATCAACAATCTCATCGATATCTTTGTGGAGCTGCAGGCGAACATGGAGGCGGAGGCGGAGGCATCCTCCATTCCCATCCCATCACCAGTTTCTGGCGAGGATCAGGAGGAACGGGAGGAACGTGAGGAGTCGGGAGAGGACAAACCCTGATGGGGTCTCCTCCATTTCCAGGGGGGAGTTTGGGGCTGGGCCCCAAAAGAAAAAAGACATTTCCACTTCCCGAATCGATTAATCCCCAAATTCCTAGTCTAAGCTAACTATTTTTTTTTTTGTTTTTTTACGACAGTTTGCGTACATACATTTAACCCCTTAAGTTTAAAATCAAAGACTGAAAACACAATATGCATACATACACATATGTATTTCTACTATATGATACATATATATATATAGGAAATATATAGCTTATACATTATGTATACATTATGTGCTGCTGCTGCAACCGCTGTTCTGTAGTGTAATTTATTTATCCCCAAAATGCACTTTTGGCCAATCTTCGAGAGACCCGAATAGTTGGTGGACATCTGCGGGCATTCAAAACTGTCGATCGTAACGATGACGATACGAAAAGTTACTGAGAACACCCAACGCGCAACAAGAGCTTAGTTTTAATTATTAATATGCTGGTTATGCGACTACCTACTAAATACTACTAATTGTGCACTATTAAATTCAGTTAAACCAGAAAATATTCGTTTTATTTTATCTGTGGGATAGTTAAAAATAATTTTTTTGACTTGGTGTATCCTCGAAAGAGTTGAATTTATTTAAAAGTACCACCGATGGAGTTTCATTTAATTGTCGTTAACGAATTTCCAATTTAAATTTAAATTTAACAGAGCCGTTAAAAAAAGTTTCGCTTATCGATAACAGCCAACAATCGGTGTTAACAGTGGGGTCGAGTCACTGCTTAGGGTTCACTTGAAATTCAAATAGTGGTTTGAGTCCATGATAAAAGCCCATTTTTAGTGCATTTTCGCAAAGGGTCTATTTTGCCCAAACGCTATTCTTTACCATAAGCTATAGTTTCACGATCTGAAACATTCGCGAGTTCGTACCCCGTGCCGAAAGGTCTGTGCTAAAGCTGAAGCTAGATAACCCACGCGGAAGTCGAGCAATTACCGATTCGTTTAAGAGTTCACTAAGAAAACTAAAGTAAAAGTGAGTGTTTTCAACGATGAACAGGTCGCTAATTCTAAGCAAAGTCAGGGAGAAATTGCGGGAGAGCGTAAGATTGTAACACTGATATGTGTGTTGTCTATGGATGTGCAAATAATATGTGATGTTGGGTCGAGATTATTTCACAAGTTTTTGCACCGCACCGAGAGCATAGTTTCCTCTTTCATCCGATTTTCTGACTTTTATTTTATTGGCACGTCCGTCGCACACGCTCACACACACACACACACACATGCTTAGCCGGCAAAAAAAAAGGGGCAAAAGAAATTTAAATTGACGGGAAAATATTTGCCAGTTCAGAAATATTTGTGATTTGTAATTAATTCGCTAAGAATTCGCATCCATTACATAGCAAAGTATGGCAAACGTGCCGAAAGTTCAAGAATTTTGGACTAATTTATTATTCCGGGTTTCTTCCATTTCATGCGTTCGTCGGCCATTTTGTAGAGTTCAGCTTTTCTTCTCTTCAAATCCCCTAGTTTATTGCGAAATAACTGGAAAAAGGCAATTACATTTAAACTTTAGGTAATTGCCACATTAGTTCATGAAATTATAGAGACTTTCACTGAGATATTAGCTTTGAGATTTGTAGCTTTACAATTTTAAAACCACATTTGTGGCTTTCACTATAAACTTATAATTGCAGTTAAGGATTTGAATTATTTATTTAAATATTAATAATGTTTTATTAGAATTTCCGCTTAGATCTGTTAATGCTGCGACTTTTTAATACTTTCTTAATTTTAATTAATTTTTTTAATTTTTTAAAGATCATTAGAGATCTGAAGATTTTTTAATTAAATCTTTTTTCATTACACTTTCTTTTGTAAATTCAATTTGAAAAAATGTACAAATTTCAAATTTTAATCAGAGAAACAAAATATTAACAAGTAAGGGATGTAGTTTATTGTAATATGGATTATAAAATTCAATTGAAAGTAATTAAAAATTAAATAATATACTAATAATAAGTAGTCAAGATAATAGCGATTTTGAAATGGAGATACGGGGACTTTTCTATTCAAGTTTTTAAGATAAGGATACTTTTGGGTAGTGACCCGTAAAGCACCGTGAATTTACTTTTACTATTCAGAGTTAATTTTTTTTTGCCATTTTTGAGACCTATTTTTGATTTGAAACCCTGTTCCGCTTACAGATGCCCCAGCTGCAGAAGCCCGCTCCCGAATTCTCCGGCACCGCCGTCGTCAACGGCGTGTTCAAGGACATCAAGCTGAGCGACTACAAGGGCAAGTACCTGGTGCTGTTCTTCTACCCCCTGGACTTCACCTTCGTGTGCCCCACCGAGATCATCGCCTTCTCGGAGAGCGCGGCCGAGTTCCGCAAGATCAACTGCGAGGTGATCGGCTGCTCCACGGACAGCCAGTTCACCCATTTGGCCTGGATCAACACGCCCAGGAAGCAGGGCGGTCTGGGCAGCATGGACATCCCCCTGCTGGCCGACAAGTCGATGAAGGTGGCCCGTGACTACGGTGTGCTCGACGAGGAGACCGGCATCCCGTTCCGCGGCCTGTTCATCATCGATGACAAGCAGAACTTGCGCCAGATTACGGTCAACGATCTGCCCGTGGGTCGCAGCGTAGAGGAGACCCTCCGCCTGGTGCAGGCCTTCCAGTACACCGACAAGTACGGCGAGGTCTGCCCGGCCAACTGGAAGCCCGGCCAGAAGACCATGGTGGCCGATCCCACCAAGTCCAAGGAGTACTTCGAGACCACCTCCTAAAGAGGCTATCATCCGATTGCCATCGGCGGGGCGGGGGCTGCTCCTGGCGAGCGGGAGCTGATTCGAATCGCAACCCCCCGCCCATGCAGATACATACTATATATATCCTACATATTAACCCTAGAGCGTAGTGAGAAGAAACTGTGAAGCCCCTTTCCCTGCATCAAAAACGGAAAAAGGAGAACACCTGCAGCAGCTATGTAAGCGGAAAGTGATTGTTTTTTGTGTGCTTTTTTTTTGTAATTCACCACAATAAATGATTGTACGGAAAAGAAAACGGACGCACGTGGGTCTTTATCAGGGGGTGGCGGGCGGACTTTCGCCTCAAACCTCTAAGCTTATCGCACCGGGGAAACATTTGGACAACAAAAAGGTGGAAAAAATAGAGACTTATCACCGTCTGCGTCTGGCACTTGCGAAATAGGAAATAAACTGAATCAGAATGCAAAGAATGCCCCGCTGAGACAGTGGCGTCATAGCAGCTGCACAGAGAGAAATCAGGCATGTCATCCTCCTTTAGCTTTATATCCCTAAGATTGAAGAATGGGCCAGTTTCAAACTCATATAAATATTTATATGATTTCTAGGCATTCCAGATTTTTTTTAAACTTAAACTATTTTATTTACTCTTCCCAGTTATATTATAGTTTTCATAATTCACCAGCATAAAATAGCAATGCTATAGCAACATTATTTTAATCGAAAAGTCTTAAAAATTGATTTAAAAATGTGATTACATGGAATTCACTTCTGCCATGTTGATAAAAACTTTTTTTTTTAAATAATCAAATTTCTGATCCAAAAAGTTGATATTCTGTACAAATAAAGCCATTTACCTGATGAATGGATTAGAGTGCACTTCGTAGATCAGATCTATATGATCTGATACTATTTTTTAATGCAATGTAGGTGATTTTTTCTCCGAGTGCAGTCGCATCTGTTGGTGACACAGTAACCGAGTGCACAATTCCCGTTTTGCCAGCACCCATTACCATCAGTTTTTATCGCATGGCACCCGGCATTTCAATGTTAAGTGCAAGCGAGAGTAGTCTAGTCGACGTGGATGTCTTACGTCTTGCATATAAAGCGGGTCTTGACTCCGTGTATGTGATTGTGTGTGTGTTTGTGAGGTTTCCAGTTACCCAGCGGCATCCCGGTTTTTGAACCCCCCCGCCTCAACGATGGTTCACCTATTACGTGTAGTTTGTGCGGCGCATCAGACGACGTGTCTTCGTCGGATCGCAATCTCTATCTCCGCCATCGAAACTAGTTTCTCCCCATGGCTGTGTATGTGTATCTGACTACCTACATATACATTTCCGACCAGCTGCGAGGCAGTGAAAAAGCTTTGGAACCTACTGGAAACAGAAAACAGAACACAGAACCCTTTCCCAACGCCACGCCAAGTGGTGCGATCTGATCCGTCGTTAGTTTTTTGCTGGATCGGGAGGGTATAGCCGACATGATGGCTCATTGCGGTAACGTCGCGTTCGCCATTATCAGTCTGCTAATTGCGCTTGTTGCCCACGGACACTCAAGTTCACTTCACACACAACGAGGGTTAAGATAATAGTCCCCACAATGGGCTTTCCCTGTTCATAGCGCATAGTTGTTTCCTTTAGTTTGTGGGGGAATTCAGAGAGTATAATTCAAGAAGTGAATTAGAAAAATTTAAGATTTAATAAGGCTTAGGTGTTTTATAAATATTTTAACTAATGACAATATAGATAATTTTGTCATTTTTTTGGGGCAACTCTGCGTATGAGTAATTTTTTCATAAGTTGTATTTTGTATACATGTTATAAAGATGAGTAAACCCAAAGTTTTTTACACATAAATATTAGGGAACTTGTAATAATATCGATATCAAATCAAGTATATTTTAAAATTCAACTCAAGGAAAGTATTATTCAGGAATTTCGTAATTGAAAATTAAATTTCAGTAATAGGGAAAAGTCATGTTAATATAATCACTCAGTTTAGTTAAAGTAATCAAGTAAGAGCAGCCCAACTTCGTGATGTCTAAAGTGCTCGATTGGCAATCGTTTTTACCTGAGCTTGTTTTGCCAAGTTGTACAGAAAACGCTCTATTCATATTCATCAGTCGCACGACAGCTGCAAAAAGAGATTGCTTCTGCTGAATCATTGCACCCAAAACGGCACAAAAAGCTACAGAAACGTACAATAATCGCGGTCTGAGCCCGATTTCTATGCCAACGGGCCTATTGAGGGCGTTGCAAATGTCATTGTCGGTGACTTTCAATGGGCCAATTGATGGAATCGATAATTATTGGGTGGCAGAAAAACGCACTTGCTCTAATGAAATTACCCGCCGAAAGCTGCAGCAATTGCAAGTGGGTGGGAAAAATGACTCTGATATACCCAATATGTATATGCCAATCGCTGGAAGTCAGTACCCGGAAAACAAGTACATACACAATAACAGCTAAGGGGAAAACAATAGTAGTAAGCGTAGTAAAATAATAATTAAGAAAATTATAAATGTAATTGAACACCTGTTGAGTAATTTTACTAACAAGCTGTTGTAATTCCTTTGAAGTTCAATTTAGTAATTATTTACCTAAGGAGTTATTATATTAGACCTTCAAGAAAGTTTAATATTAATATTGTACATATTATTTTAAGACCGCAAAAAGCATTAAAAACATTACATTGTCGGACACTTACCTTTCTTACCACTTTCAAAGGTTTGAAAATAGTAATCATCATCTTTCAAATACTCCGAGATATTAATATGTTTTTAACCCACGTACAAAAAATTATAAGATTCTAAAACTACGTATAATTCTGTTGATCCTAGTCCAAGAAATAAATTTATTAAAACTATTCTAATTAGTTGTTAAAAACTTGAGCAAGTGGGGACTGTATTTCTAACAACATTTAGTGCTATGCTATAGTGCTGTCTGTGGCGCTATTTGATTATTTTATAGACTGATAGCTCGTAATCGGGAGGCTTTTTCTGTGGTATTAGTGATATCAGTGGGAATGGGTCGTGCGGAATGACATGCCCGAAATGGCAAATTCCGCCATATTGTGGGCTACGCCAATCAATGGCTCGACCTTTCAATTACCTCTGCGATAAGGATATACACACGGGGGTGTGTTGGCCAAATAATTCCCCAGTTGTAATTGGCCCTCCCAGAGATAGATAACGCCAGGAAAACTTGGACTTGGGCTCATCAATTATCTTTATTCTAAGCCACACGCAACACCGATATCGATCGGTATTCAATATGAAGCTTAATTGCAGTTAATGACATAGCAATTGATTAAATACAGGAATCCCATTTGGGTCAGGATACGAATCAGATCGGAATTAAATTTCTAAATTAAATTAATTTCAATTTAACGGTCTTTTTGGAATGAGCTGCAAAGTATGCAATACATTTCATATTACTGAATCGTAAGAACAGTATTGTATAGGACCCCAAGGTTTAGGTGTTTTGAGTGTATTTTCCAAAACTGAAATCGAGGGCTGCTAACTACGAAATTTTTAGGCCCGCGACTTTGAGCTAGTTTTCAAATGTTGATAACAAACAATGTCGAAAATCCATATGTCCCCAACAACATATAGGAACGGGTTAAAATCATAGCTTTGGTGTTTTCATTTCTTAAAAGTTTTCCCCTCTTAACATTCCCTATAATAACTTTGAAAACCTGGCAATATATTTTCTTTGTGGTTTATTATAACAATTATTTTGAAAAAGTAAAACTATTTGTTTAGCTCTGGCTCTAATCTGTAAAGTACAGATACATAAATTAACCCTTTTAATTAGTTTATTTCGAATTATTAATTATATATTTTGTTCCGACAGTCAAGTTTTAACACAGGTCTTTATCTACTCCACTTAAATGCAGTTCTCTCTAATGAGAATTTAATCAAAATAATAGCTTATTGGCCAATTGTCTAGAAAACTGGCCAGGTAATTAAAAGTCAACTAGAATTTAATATAAATTGAAGTCTATATTAAAAAGGTTTTACCAAAAACTAACGAACCGGGCCATAGGTTAAAAACAATGCTTAAAATGTTTATTTTTCATGAACATTATTCTATTTGTTCAGTTGTGCCAATTCAGTTAAAATGTTTGCAAATGCTTTAGGGTAATGTTTCTAACCGAAGAAGTTTAATTTGCAGTCAATAATATAACCTACCTATTATTTGTATAGATAATAACGTTGCAAGTAAATTTGAAATAATAAATCATGCTGACTGATTGTTTGGGGTCGGGAAAATCTAAGAAATAAGTATTTGTAGTTTGGGAACAACATATGAAAATGGTTAATGAATTAATTTAAAGTTACCCAAGTTGTTCTTGGATTTCTTGACTCATTATATGGCAAACACGTAACTGTGGAAGGTCCGAATTGCCATGAAAGTAACCACATGGCTTGTATCTACTTAAGTGCCTAGATATCGGGTATATCAAGACGGCCAGACTGGGAAAGATTCCTTTTCTTCCAACGATTGGCTACCAATGATGCAGCTCTTGGCGCCTCCGCTCAAGGTTATATTATACAGTCGGTTTTAAGTTAACAGATAGATTTACTGTCGCAAACGTTTCATCACTGTATGGCGTACATATTTCATAGATTGTAAACAAAATCGTTATTAAAATTATTATGTATCAATCATTTTATTTCGTGTTTCTTTGTGAACAAAACATTCATTGTCGTGTGTTGTCTGAATGAATGTAGATGCGTTCTCGCCCCTGGTTTGCATACAAAACGTGTTTTGGATGTACTATTGTGTGTCGGTGAAATAAAACGTCAATCTCATATCAACTCCTCACACAGACTGACTCTTCTTCTATCATCCGTGGCTCTCTAGAAGAAGAAGCCGAGGATCTTTCCTCCCAGATGTTTTCTCCTGGCCTCCTCGTGGTCCATGATTCCGCCTGAGGTGGTCAGCACGACGTAGCCGAATTGACGGGAGGGCAGCAGATTGTTGGTCCACTTCTCGATGTCGTTGATGGGCACATCGAACCTGGGCGAGATGACACCGCACTTGTTGAGGCGTCCGGTCAGGTTGACCACGATCTTGCCCGACCGATGGTCGTCCACGATCTCGAACTCGCCGATGTAGCCGTGCTTCATCATCACAGTCAGGAACTTGATGATCACCTTGGAGCAGGGTCGCAGCAGCACCTGGCGCTTGCCTCGCTTCTCAGCATTGTTGATGCACTTGAGGGCATCGGCCAATACGTTCATACGCACCATTGCTGCAAAACGATGGGAAGTCTGGTTAGTTATGGTCTGGAAATCCGCAATTCATAGAAAAAAAAAGGAAAAAAGGCTATAGTCGAGTGGCCCGACTTTGATATACCCATTACTCAGTCTTGCTAAACAAAAATATAATGCCTATCCGAAAAAGAAAGGATTTGGAAGCCTACAAAGATCAACCTAATATGGTAACGTTCCTCAATTTATAAAGCTACATCCAAAAACTAAACAAAATATGGAATACCTTTCAGAACTAGCTTATGTAGCCTATAAACGTCAAGCATAAATGTTAACCCTTCTTTTAAATATTTCGAATGTCTATAAAATCCATATTTCCAAATGGCATATGTAGACAACCCTATCGAATCTTTTTAATGTGGTCTATAAACTAATATGGTTTAAAAACTTTTGAGATTTGAATGCCGCATAGGTGGAAATCTGAACAATGTGTGGAATAGTTCCTGAAAACTCACGGACAGACGGACTTTATCAAATCGGTTGTTGATGCTGATCCTCAATTTATGTTTTATAGGGTTCCTTTTTCCTTGAGGAGTAACGGGTATGTTAAAAAAAGGAAAAAGCAACAAGCGAAACACGTGCAAAATACCAGGAAAAAAACTGTCTGTGATTCTCTTCTTGTGTGTGTGTGTGTGCAAGTGGCTGTAAACAACAACTATTTCGGGTTGAGTTTCTCATCCCAAGTACTCAAAAACTCTTTTAATTAAGCCGGTTTTTGGTGGTACATTTAATTAAATTGAATTTCTGATTTTAGGCCACACTTTTAAGCCACTCACACACGCACACACATGCACAACAGCACTGTGAAACACAATTTCTGGCCAACACTTCACTTCAAATTCTTTTGCACAGTAAAAAAATAGCATAACCAAAAAAAAAGTATATATATGCGATATATCCAATATGTAGGGAGGCACTTCATGTATTGTTGACATGGTAAACTGCCAAGTAACCACTTAATTTCGGCTCTCGGCCCACAGTAAAAAAATTTGTAATAAAAAAATGGTATTTGCACATGTTTCACCCGGCGCTCGCCGCAAATCTTATCTGGCTGCGTTTTAGTGGTGAAAACAGGTCCAGTGGAAGCGGCAATTACCTGGGATTGGTTTGCAAACACTGAGTTACACGACCGCTGCAAATAAAGGAAATAAAATCAGTTTAGTTTCGATTTTAGTGAAAAAAATCGCGGAGAACACGCACTCACGTAAACGTGAAAAGGGAAAAGAAAGGGAAACGGAAGGAAAAAGACAGAGCATAGTGTGCCCGCACTCGCGAAATTGTGGCTAAAATCGATTTTCAATCGATAGTTTCCCTAGACACAATCCACTTTAGATGGCAGTGACTCAATTTTTAAAAAATTAAATAAAGAAATAAATTTAAAAATTACTTTATTCCCAAAGCAATGCAAACGTTTTTGGAGCACTATTTTTTGCTTAAAAATTTTATTTTTACCATAAAACTGCAAATAATGGTCGCATAATAGAATTCCATTTCCTGTTGAACTCGTAACAAAATTTTTGATTGACATTCACAGCTTTTTTTGTAAAATTTTCAAAAAAAATCATGATGAAACCCCTTATGGAAAATGTAAAACTCAAATATGTTATTTTTGATGATTTTTAGCTCAAAAAATACCAGTATTTTTACTAATAACAATGCAAATAATAGTAGCACAATAGAATGCCATACCTTGTTCAACTCGTCACAAAATTTCCAGTCAAACTGCATTTACAACTTTTTTTGTAAAATTTTAAAGAAAAATCAAGATGAAAACCTCATGAAAAATGGGATTTAAACCATTTTTCGCTTAAAAATATCAGTATTTTTAAGATCACAACGCTAATAATTGTCCAATAATGGAATGGCATACCTCGTTGAACTCGTAACAAAATTTCCAGTCGAACTGCATTCACAACTTTTTTTGTAAAATTTTAAAGAAAAATCATGATGAAAACCTCATGAAAAATGTGAAATGTGAAAAATGGGATTTGAACCATTTTTCGCTTAAAAATATCAGTATTTTTAAGATCACAACGCCAATAATTGTCCAATTTTGGAATGGCATACCTCGTTGAACTCGTAACAAAATATTCAATCGAACTGCATTCACAACTTTTTTTGTAAAATTTTTAAGAAAACTCATGATGAAAACCTCATGAAAAATGTGAAATGTGAAAAATGTGATTTTCAACCATTTTTCGCTCGAAAAGATCAGTATTTTTACGATAAGAATGCAAGTAATGGCCCAATAATGGAATGCCATACCTCGTTGAACTCGTAACAAAATTTCCAATCCATAGACATACAAAGATTGTTTTGTAAAATTTTTTAAATCTTAAGAAAAATGTGATATGTAAAAAACTGGATTTTTGCAGTTATATACCGATACCCTTATATAAAGTTGAATAATTTAAAATATTATAAAATGATTATCGTTATCTTAGGCATTTCTTACGCCCAAACATCAAAGCGCCTTAAAAATTATATAATATATATTAAAACTATCCTTGGTTCAAACCTTGGCTTTAAAACTATCGAACAACGACTATCGATGATTTTACCATTGTACAAGGTACTGATGTACAGGGTTGCTCCGCAAAGAAGTAGTGCAGTGCAATTTCAGTATTAGCTAAGCCGAGCTGAAAGGTCACTCTTACTAATTATAAACAAACACAAAATGTCCAAACAGTGAGTTATTAATTAACAATAGCCAGTTTAAATGGTTTCAAAACCTGTTTCAATCCACAGATATGGACTTATTATCTCTGGGCAGCAGAAGAAGGTTCCAGCGAAGCCCGTAAAGCCCGCCATTTTCGACGAGAGCAGCGCCTCTGAAAGCGACGACGACCGAAATGCCCCCCAATTGAAGTCAAAAACCGGAGTAACCAGTGGACCAAGTCTGATGGAGCGCCGTGTGGCCCGCCGGCAGCAGGAGAAGGCCCTGGCCGAGGACCCAACCATCTTCCAGTACGACGAGCTCTACGACGACATGGACAACAAGCGCGAGGAGGCCAAGCAATCGAAAAGCAATGAGCCCCGCAAACCAAAGTATATCGGCCGGCTAATGGAGCACGCCGAGCGCAGGAAGCTGGAAAAGGAGCTGCGCATCGAACGGCAGGTGCAGAAGGATCGCGAGGCCGAGGGCGAGATGTACAAGGACAAAGACACCTATGTGACCGCCGCCTACCGCAAGAAGCTAGAGTCCATACGCCAGATGCAGGAGCAGGAGCAGCGCGACGAGTATCTCGAGGCCATTGGCGACGTCACCAAGCAGAAGGATTTGGACGGCTTCTACCGTCATCTCTACGAACAGAAACTGGGTCCTGCCGGTGGGGATGTGGATGTGGTCAAACCAAAAACGGCACCCTCCACTGACGAGGTCTCGTACAAGCCCATCAAGGCGGAGGTGGTTAAGCACCGCAGCTATCGTCAACGACGCCCCTCCGAAGAGGAGGAGGATGATGTGGATTCCAAGGCCAAGTCTGGTCGGGTTGTAGAGACCACCACGTCCGCGGATCAGGCGGAAAGCAAGCCAGCCCAGGCTCATCTGGCCAACAATATAGATGCCGACTCCGATTTCAGCATAGACGACTCCAGCGATGACGAGGCTGAGGATAAGGACAAGGACAAAAAGAATGATGAGGTCAAGCAACAGCAGGCCCAGGAAAAAAGTAAGGAGAAAGATAAGCCACAGCAAAGTTTAAAAGCCACCAAAGAGAATGAAACTGCGGCACCGACTGGATCCCCCGACAAAAAAGAGGATTCAGATGCGGAGCTGGACGAGAAGGATCTGCCCGTGCCCATAGTTACTAAGCCTCCGGTGGACCGCACGCTCATCTGGCGCAAAAGGACCGTGGGCGACGTATTCGACGCCGCCTTGGCGCGTTATCAGGAACGCAAACGAGCCCGCCAGGGCTAAAACGCATCCAATTAAAGTTCGAGTAGATGGAACAACAAACCAGTGATTTCTCTATTGTCTCCTTATTATGCTAATTTCAATTTGTCCCATGCTCATAAATTATTTATGTGTATGCCAGCGCTCTTAGCAAACCCTTTTCGGTGCAAATATTTTGCATAAGTTGCAACAGAGTCCCCAGCCCGTTTCCACTTTTCATCTAAAACAGAAAAAAAAAGAAATGGGTAGGAGTACAAGGCATGACGGATGAAACCGCAGGAAAAGTGGGGGAAAAGCACTGGAGGATGAGGAAGTGCCTGAAGGAGCACAACGCGAAGATATTCCATTTATTTTGTATGAGGACGACACGACGACAAGTAGGAGAGCCAAAAAAATAACTAGGGCTAGCTTAGAGGAACGAAACTGGGGATACCCTTGTAGGTCACTTATTTCTTGCTCCAATCTTGTCTAGGATTAATTATGACTTGAGTAGATAGACCAAACAATTAAAAATTTGCTTTATGAATATACTATACCATTTAAAGTTAGATAAAAATAGATTACAATTCGATTAAGGGAGTCTACATTGAATATAAATAGATGATGTTTTGTTGCAGTAAAGAAAAGCTCAATTTATTATATTCCTGAGACAACTACATGACATACCTATCTCCATCCAGAAGCTCCAGCAAAGCTGTGCAAAAATTCATCCCTATTGATTTTATAGTCCCGGACAAATCCGCGTTGAGGCAGACAGCTTATGCAGAAATGACTTTTTAGGTTCACAAATATCTCGTTCACTGAGCCGGAAACTCCTAATCCAAGTTCTAATACCCTCTGCAAGGGTATAAAAACGGAAAGGCAGCGAGAAACTTGCCAAACGCCCAAATAACAAAGAGCCAACTTGGCGTTAGTTTATTTTTTCGCTATCCTTTTTGTTTTTGCAACATTGTTGTTGCTTCATTTTGCCGCAAATGCTGGGAAATCCTTTTGGAAAATAGGTGTGCCCGCGCCGTAAAAGCGAAAACCAATGGGCCAGGAAGGGGGAGTGGTGTGGAGGAGCCTCGGAAAGGAGAACGGAAAGCACGGAGAGCATGGCTGACATGGTTAGGATCAGTGATGGACACTGTCTGGGCACTTCTTAGGTACTTATTCCTGATGCCTTTCAGCCAACTTGGTTCGCCAAGGAAGTTAAGAGACTGTTTTTATGTGGCCTTTAAAGAACGCGAATTCTTTAGATCTGTGCGGCTCATCGAGAAAAATAACGAAAATAGAATGGGAATTCTTCAACTCAATTTTATTTGCTATTACTTTGACAGCAACTAAATGTATTACATGTACACTTATAAAAAATAAACGTACATTAAAAGTATAAAATTATCCTGCCAGTATCGAGTTTCATTTTTATCTGTAAACTTAATATAATACTTTTTTGGTAATATTTCAAGGGCTTACGTATTATTTTGTTCCTGTGTAGGTACATATTAAGTACCAGACTTGGGTTAAGCACATGCGGTACCCTAACCATCACTTTCGGCTAAACCACGGATATTTTTTTTTGCCCATACCTTGTACTTTTCCCATCATTGAAGTTAGATTCCGGCTCCGGGGTCCGGCGCATTGCAGAGATGGCAAACCGCAGTTTGCTCCCGTTCTTCATTTCTACATTCCGTCATTTGTGTCCCCCGGAATGCCCCCGGAATCACCCGGAATCCCCTCCAGCATCTACATCCACTGCATCTGCATCTGCAGCCCGGACGGAATGTCAAGACGGATATGCCTCGCTTTTGATGTTGCCAACGTGCCTTCGTTTTCGTTTTAGTTTTCGTCCTCGTCGTCGTCAGCGAAATTAATACTGAAATCCATTTTCTATTTGGCAGTCTCAGTCGCCCCGTCTCGCTCTTACCCATTGGCGTAAGCGGAGGGGGGCTAGTTTGGGGCAAAGTTTCCCCTCCCCCCCCACTCGGCTTAAAACTGATAGAAAATGAGCACCCAAAAAAAAATATACTTCAAAAAATTTAAGGGAAATTTTCCTAAAGTTTAGGAAACTTTACAGGAGATTAATATGGGTAAAATTACCTCGAAAAAAATGCAGGTAATTTGTACTAAAATAAATTAAATAGTTTGACCTAATTCCAAAATTTGAAGGTGGTATTTTAAAAATAATGCTGAACCCCCCCACAGTAAGTCGAGGATACGCCACTGCTCTTACCTGTTCGATTGTGTCATCAATCTCACATGTCCTTTGCTCCTTTGCTCCTCGTTTGCTCCTTTCTGGCGTTTTTGTTTATTGATGTGCACTGCTGCAATTGAGATTTGTGCCACATTTTAGGCAAATTAATTCGATACGAGCTGAATGGAATGGAATTTTTCCTTCGATTCAGTAGTCAGCAGCAGCAGCAGCAGCAGTCAGCATTCGTCGTTATTCATATTTCGATATTTGTTATTGTCGCAGATCGAAGAAGGGTGCAGCCATATAGCGCCGTCCCCCTCGGGTTCATGTGCCGCCGATCGAATCGGTCGTTAGCTTAACGTTTCTAATTGAGTGCTCTCGAGCTGAGTGCAATAACAACACTGCATTTGCAAGTGCTGCTTCTTCTGCCTCTGCCGCCTTAACCCTTTTGAGGTCTCAAGGGTCTCTCTTCGCTAAAAGGATATTTCGCCCAGGTGACGAAGGTTGCCTTTGCTGCTGGCGTTGTCTGATAAATGCATTTAGGCATTTGCATCAAACGCTGTTAAAAAAACAAACACCTTTCACATATCAAGGATGCACGAAAGGACACCACTGTTGGTTGTATCCTTACGGTGCTGGAATTTGTTGTTCGCCCAGGTGACGGAGTTTTATTGTCGCCCATTTTGCGATAAAGTACACAGATAAAAACAGCTCAATCTAGACTAAATACCAAATACTTTTACGTAAAATTAATATTTAATATACATTAGTTGATTAGATAAGTACCAATTAGATAAGTAACATATTATTTTTATATTTTATCTGATAATTGAATATTAATGTAATATGTAGTTAATGTTATCAAATAGGTAATAACATTATACAGGAAATAATACAAAAATGCAAAATATTGGATACATTTTTTTCTGTATAAGGCAAAGAGCCTTAAGGTCCTTGACATATGAGATATTTGCTCTTCAATATAAAAAAAAGTATGATATATAGATAGGTAAAATTACCTAGAAAAAAATGCAGGTAATTTGTACTACAATAAATTAAAGAGTTTGTTTTAATAGTTTACTAATCTTTATAAAAATACTTCTTAATTAGTACTTCCAGATTAGGTAAAATAATATACTAAAGTTCACTTTTTTGCCGACTTCTTGTTTACCAAACATAGGTAACGAACATGTTTTTGTCACTTTTTTTTATATAAAGAAAAAATCAGAGTCAAGTGACAAACCCTACCCTTTTGCCAAAAAACAAGTTGATGTTTTTCTAAATTTGTTTGTGTTGAAGTTTTTAGTGGTCTCAATCTCTGTTTCGCTTTTCGGTGAGACTCTTGAGATCAATAAAAGTTGTTATCTTTTTTATGCGGAAAGTGCTACAAAACTATAAGCGCACTGCATATAAAAAGTTAAGCAATGCAGAAAGTTTTTTAGGGTGATTTGGCGAAGGGTTGCTCATGGGTTAACCCGGCAGCAAAATCGGCTTTGGCGCAAGGGCCATGCTGTGGAACAACAGAGATTATGTAACACTAATTCCATTAACCCCTTTTGTGCGGTCCATCGTCCTTCGTTCCAGAACCGAAACAAACCCCTTCCCCCTTTCCCCTCTCACCGCACTCTCCTTTTTCGGGTCTAAAGACTTTGTGTGCCTCTCGTTGCCTAATCAATTTACGATCATAATTACTTGGCTTTTGGTCTCGGTTTTGGGCTTGGCTTTGGCATTTCGCTTTGCTCCTTGGTCCGTGGCCAAAAAGCCAGCGATTCAATCTGGGCCAATACAGCATCCGACCACCTAAATCCTGCTGCAGAAGAGGTCCTGGAGCAGGCCAATAGGCCCAGGCCGAGGCCCAAGTAAAGGCTTCAAGATTGTGATCATTCACGTGTGAATTCAATTATCAACATTTTCTATGCTCGGACACCGGGCCACACGGACCAACGGACTCCTAAACGGACACGGATTCGGACACGGACATGGAGGACCACCACCCGGTGACCCACCACCGGCGGCAGTTAGTCCTGGCTACGATGCAATTGTCCAGGGGCGTGGTCGAAAAGGGGATGGGCACTGGTGCCAGGGAAAGAAGTCATCAGAACTGTGGTGTAAATTGCCCCGACCCAAAAATACCCAGTAACTATGGGAATAATAAAATTAGAATGATTGAGATCAATTTAAGCATCTTAATTATTACTTAATTTTTATATTTGTAGAGCATCAACCTTAAATCAAGTTATTTTAAATAAATTAGAGTATAAAATACCGGTTTGTTTTTTGTTTAAAGCACTTACTATTTAAATGAATTTTTAGATTCTTTTCAACATTTTTTAACAAATATTAATCAATTCAAAACTAACTATGCGTGCCGACTTTTATGGTTTCTTATACGGTTGCAGCATATGTTTTATTTTTTGACATGGAAGCTGAGAACACTGTTGACACCGAGCTAAAATTACTCATACGCCATGTATGCCAGGTGAAATCTAGTCCTCGCCAACTGGTTTCAGGTAAAATGTGTGGCCAAGACAACACTAATTAAGGATAATCAGCTTTTAAGCCATGTGTGCGCATTAATTAAAAGCAAACATGTTGAGGAAACACAACAAGAGGAATCACAAGATTTAACATTTTTTTCTTAAAATATGTTGAATAAGGAAAAGAGTTCTGCTTAAATAAGACACACAATCCCCATGCTCTTTACCTATTTGAGTACTTTAAAAAAATTCAGAAAGAGATGCTCATAAAATGCGATACATCTGCACCTGAACCATTTTATTTTTTTTTAAAGCATCAAATGAAAACTACAGTTTATTGCTGCGGATTAAAAATAAAAACTAAATGTATTGCCTATAAGATGGAAGAAAAAAACGTGCATAAAACTGTGTGT